TGTGTGTGTGTGTGTGTGTGTGAGTGTGTATGGAAGCGTGTGTGTCTTGCTGGCAGTTTCTGTGTTTACCTTCTGCATGTGGAATTCCAGAGCCCCCTCACACTCTCCTCTGTCCTGCATTTTTGCGGTCGACCAGTGTGACAGGGGAGAGTGTGGGAAAAACGGAAGCTTCGGGACCAAAAATGCACTGATGGAAACAATGAAAAGAAAAGAAGAAAGAGACAGGAAAAAGAAAAGAATGACAGAGAGAAGTGAACCCAGTCCAGAAAAAGATGATTGTTTCCAGAAAACGGAAAGATAATAAGTTGCTTCCCCCATATTTCCAGTGGGCTTTTTTTCCCTCAGGTGCAACTTAATACTTTTGTTATTGAGGCACATATGAAATGTATCCCTGTGTAGGGTTAATCCCTTCAATCTTAGAATAGTATCACTGTGCTAGATTATTTAAATAGTTCAAGGTTATCCATTCCTCCACACACTTTCTTCTATCCAACTTTTGAACTATTGTCTGACATAGCTTGGATTGGAACGTAGTGCACTTCTGATAATCTTTAACACGGTGTTTGAAACATAAAAAGCCATGAAAGGTGTCGTCAGTTAGTTTTGTTTGAATCCCTCCCCCCTTTATTAAGTCACTTGCTCAAATAACTCATAAATATTCATTTCTAGGAGCAGCCATGCAGACGTTTGCCAACTCTCTTCACTTTTTGCCTTTTGATTTTAAGCTCAAATAACACGCCGCACACTTGATTGAAGCAAGTGCGCTTGTTGGTATCATACTCAGCAGGGCAGGGCTCTCTTTGCTCTATCAACATACCACAGCTGCCAAGYGGAGAGGCTGCAAGAGCTCAAAGTGGTATGACTTCAGTGGAGGCTTTGAAAGGAGCAATTTGTAACACAAATAAATGAGGCTGTTTGGTATTTTGTTTGCGAGGTTTGGGTTAGTCGCAGCTGTAGCCACGGAAACCTGGGCTGTCGTGTGGCATTACTAATAGGGTGACAATTACAGCAGTGTCATTAATGTCAGCCTGGCTGCTGCTTTCTCTCCCTATTAATCAGCCACAACAGTAGTTATTTTCGTGGAATACTGTATACACACAGGAGCTGCCAAACGTGTGTTTATGGTTAAACTTTATCCCCTTTGGTCGGGTCTGAATTGCATTAGGACGTCCTCACTACTGGCGTGCAAAAAAAGTGAAACCTCAGATGAGTTCTGTTTGCACTAGAACCTTAGATGTGTGATTTTATTATTTATTTTTTCGGCTTTGGGTCTGATGTGTCATCTGTACGTAGCGCAGGTTCAGAATCAGCTCCCACCTGCAGTGTTTCTGGCTGCTATCTGACTTGCGGAGTGACAGAGCGAGAGTCTGTTGACAAAGAAAGTGATGCGAAGAGCCAGAGGTCAGGTCCCCCCGCCCTCTCGATATGAAAGCGGCTGCTTCCTGTGGAGGTATGCCACTCTTAAAGAGGGCCAGTTCTATTTGTGGTTGTGTAATGGTATGAAAGAACAACTGTGCAGCCCCTTACAAGGAGGCAGTGTGTACCCTGATTACCTTATTAATGCTCCTTTGGCAAGCTGCTGTTATGGGGCGAGAAGTTAATGCCAGCTAAGCTTTATTTATTGTTCCCCTTAAAAAATGCTTAACAGATTTAATGCATAGGGTTACAGACGTGCCTGCTCATGCTCTATGCTTCAGTAGTTCTTATAATGGTGCTCTCTGGGAAAACACTGCATACTCTGTCTGATTATGTGAAAGGAGCTGTTTAATTCCTTTTCTATAATTTTCAGACCTATTTATTACACCCCCCGAGGCATGAATACTAAGGTATTTGCTATTCAACACATGAGGATTTACCTGGTTGTTCCTTTCCTGTCTGTAACCTCAGCAGTCTGTAATCAACAGAGGATTCCTGCCAGCATGATCATCACATCACCCCGGACAAGGAGCAGGAATTTCTCCCCTTCTTGTCACAATAGCTCTCGAGAGGCACCCAGTAAACACTTAGCCTCACTAACCTCCTCTGACTGCACACAAAGAGCAACTATTYAAATTTGGCTCCATCTTTACTTGTCATAGGACTGTTCTTCAGAAACAGTGCACAAACGCTGACAATCAGCTTTTCTTTTGGGGTTTTTCAACTGCTTATCCCCACACGGAACATCTGTTGGACTGCAGAGGTGAATGTGGTATTAAAAATGCATTTTTTATTTTTTTTCCTTGCGCAAGCCCCGCAGAGAATAATCATTTTCAGTCCTCTCTAGCCCTCACCCTGTGTCTGATTAACAGGCAGATGTCCTCAGAGAGTTCAGCCAGTGGATCCGTGTCAAGTGGCAAGCAGGTGGTGTACGAGGCCRTCTGCGGTAAAACAGGTGGGTTTGATGTTGCAGTTTTGCAGATGCTTCGCGCTGCGCTTCAGTCCTCAGGCAGGWGGGAAGTTATGCCTTTCTACACCAGTGCCAGTGATTACAGGCAGGCGCAGTGGACATTCCACATGGAGGGCTGATAAACACTGCTGGATCATTTTATGCAGCTCCTCTTTGTTCAGATGCACATTATTCAAATTAAAAGAACTTTTTAATTAGTAGATTTCAGACTTCTGCTAAAAGCTCTACTCATAACGAGATGTTGTCTAAAACAATAATAAAAAAGATTTCCAGATCTTTTGTTTACTTTATAGTTTACATGTTATAAATCAGTTTGAGATACTATTGTCAAAAGAATCAGGGACTGTGGAGAAGTTGTAGTATCTAAAGAGAAGATAACTCTATCATCATATTATAAAATTTTTTCAATTGATTTTTTTAATCAGGACATTGTGCAATTAAAACATAAAAACATTGGATGCATTGCACCAGATTTGGCCCTAGATAATTTACATCTGTAGTCCCATCAGGCAGCTTATATATAACAAAGCAGTGGTTCCCAAAGTTGGGGTTGGGACCCATCTGTGGGTCATGAAACATCAAGTGAGGATCCTCAGATGATTTCCAGTCATCAATTTAATTGCAAATAAATTGCTAATGGAATATTTTCTCCATACTTATTGCCAAAAAAAACAATATTCATAGTTATTAGGTCTGTTTTATAGTTATTATGCCCATGTTTAACAGAGTTATTGGCAAAGTTTTGTACACTTAAATCAATAATATCTGGGGTCATAAGTTTCTGTGACTGCTATTTTGCAGGCCAGAAGCTAACATGTTTGATGYAGTGTGATGAAGTGAAGTGAATATTAAATAATCTCCTCTCTATGAAGCTGTAATGCTTTGTCACTGTCTGTTCTAGCACTCTGTCTATATACAGTATTAAGGGTCCGTCAGATTTCTTCCTCCCACTTTCATGTATTTATCAGTTACTATTCGTATTTTATAAAATCTTGTGATGCATCAAACATTGTCCTGTCCCAGATTTGTTAATATTCACACTGTAATGTAAATCAAAAGCGTATTTTTTTYCAAAACTTTGTAAAACATAACTTTAAAATTTGGAATTGTTATATTCTCATTCCTTTATAGTTTTAAAATAACTTCAAAGAGAAAAACATTTTTTGTGTTTTTCACATTGGTTTCCTGAACCTTTTTTTTATTTTTTTGGAAACAAAGTAGTACTTTATGTGCATTGGTTCTCCAAATAGTTTGTTCCAAGAAGAGTTGGATGTAGTTTTCAGTGTGATTTCTATGTTTCTGCGTGCACCCAGGACTCAAGGTCAGGTTGTAGCTGAAGGATAAAAAAGCCCAACACATCTTGTATTTTTTTTTTGTTTTGTTTTGTTTTAATGAGTTCCAGTAATGGGAACTGTTCAGTCGTTCCATGTGTAGATCATTCCCATACATGCACAGTTCCTGTCCATCCACCAGATGCTGCACTGAAGAAAACAGACAAAAGCAGCTCAGGTTTTGTGGGTTCGTCCGCTCACGTGTGCCCTGTCATTCCGACTTATTTCCATAGCCCTTTCTGTCATTGCAGTCGCTGTGATGTTAGGCAGTTTGCACACATCTGTTTGTCCGATTATATACTTTTCCAGGACTCTGCTATACATTAGTATTAGCAGATTCCTTGCATCATGTCATTGTCAAAGTAAAGCCGCTGCTGAGCTCAGCATGTGGAAACTACAGTAGCTGAGGATAGACCCCTCTTCTACCCCACACAAATGTGAACATTCAAACCAAACTCTGTGTCCRTCTTGGTGAACAATTTTTGTTTCGTTTCCCAAACCACTTTCTCTCTGTCCCTAAAGTATGAAAGCTGGCTTAGTTTAACAAACATCTTATAAACTCATCAATTACTGTAACTGKATCCTTTGGGAGCTGCTTCTGAATTTCATGAATGCAGTTTTTCCATCATTCAGAGTGCACAGGGTGGAGGAAAAGCCTCTCTGTTGACTAGAAAATATCTTGAAATAATATAAAGATACAAAAACGTGGATCAAGGAAAGAACTGGGAGCTGATCAGAGACCGTGGAGATTTGAAGAGGAGGAGAGTGTTGTTAGAACGGGCACAGCCTTTGTGAAGCACAGAAGTGCATCAGGTCTTTTTGCCTTTGTAGCAAGATGACTGAGCTCCCCTGATCGACTCTGACAGGCAGTTAGAGCGAGTCCAAATGGAGAACATTCTCTATGATCAGCTGTCACCCATCGTTAATCACACTCTCCCTTTATCTCTCTCCTGAGCACTCTTTTAATCTTTTCCTCTTGTTGCTCATATGAAAACTTCTCCCACTCACTTACCCCACTCCACCCCACCCGTTTTCTGTGTTGATTTTTGACTTGACACGAGGGGCCGGCCTCTGATGAGGACCTACCAAAGCTTACAGAACTACATTATATTCACCAGATGTGTTTTTCAAGGGTTCCCTTGAGGTTTCCTTGAGGTTCTCAGGGCTCCACAGTTGGTGACTGTGTGGAGATTTATTGCCCRAGTCTTAGAAGGAAATGAATACAGCGCTTGTGCCACTTTAATAGGAGTCCGACCATGTCAGGAAGAAAAACCCWGGCCTCTTTCTATCAGAATTAAAGACCTAGCATTCCTTGAAGGAGTGTATATATCTCTGTCACAACTGTCTTTTTTTATTATTCCTATTTTTAAAGGGGAGGTGTTATGTATTTTTCAGGCACATAGTTCAATTCAGTACCACAATCCAGTAATTGTCACCTTTAGTTGTTATGAAAACGCTGTGTGAATGAAAAATAAATTTAACTTTCCATCGTAGTTTTATCTAAACACCTTGAAATTGGCCTCTGTCTCTTTAAAGGGGAAATATCATGTAAAATCAACTTTTTTGAGTTTTTTATCATGTTATAATGTTATACTTTCATAAAAAACATGCCCAAAGCCTTGCCCTGACTCATTCATGCATGTTTGAGAAATCCTGCAGTGTTTTTAGGAAGCCATGCTGAGGAGCAAAACGACAGGTGGGGACCAGAAATGCCTTTTGGTACCAGAAACGTCCCTTGGACGTGTCTTTAGGCCGAACTTCCTCATGGCAGAGTGCACCCCCTCCCCACACACCCCGCCCATGACTCCTGCATGCTCTCAGGTGAAATTGAAAGTGAAACTTAACTGTCTGCAGCTCTCAACATTAGTTCTCACTCAGTGAAGCTCTTTTCAGATTAAAAATAACTTTGAGGAAATGTATTTTCAGATGCCAAGTAAACTGCATCATAGCACACGCGCACGAGCCCCCCGCGTGCGACCCCCCCCATATACACACACACACACACACACACACACACACACACACACACACACACACA